CCGGAGACGGGGACGGAGATGGTGGAGGCTGCCGGAGACGGGGACGGAGATGGTGGAGGCTGCCGGAGACGGGGACGGAGATGGTGGAGGCTACCGGCTACCRGAGACGGAGCGACGTGCGTGAAGAGAGGGTTGGGAAGAAGGGGTGGGAAGGATAATCTTGGAAAAATAGAAGTCTGAATGGTTGAGTGAACCATTGGATGCAAAATGGTTAGGAGGGTTATGTAACCATTAAGAGGCTTATTTTTTTGCCAAACACTCCTTACCTCTTACCGATTAAGAGGTTGGCTCTTAATGTCACCATTAAGAGCCAAACAAACAGCCCCTCAGAGTTACAATATCATCATTCAAATGATATTTTTTTAATAAGTATAAAAAATAACGTTTGATAAAGACACTAAACTATGCAGCTTCATCGTTTGATACATGGACGCAGAGACGTTCCAATTTTTTTATATTACCTTGCATAATTCAGATAACAGAGAATATATGTTAAAGAAAAAAATGGGCTATGTAAGATCCCATATTGGTTAGAGAAGAAAACAAATGTTGTCTTATAAAAGACTTGATACCTCATCTATTAGGTGCGTTTTAAAACCGTAAGTTTAGGTGTGGGACAAAGCGGACAACATATGATACGGTTGATCTGAGATGTTACAGATAGTATTAGAGCCAGACTGGTGTTCCAGCTAGGACGCTGGGCTCCCAAGGGGGTGGATTGTAAGATCCCACATTGGTTGCGGAGGGGAAAAAAGTTGTCCTATAAGGGACTTGATACCACTTCTACCAGACGCGTTTTAAAATCGAGAGTCTAGATGTGTGAACAAAGAGGATAATATCTAGTACGGTTGGCATGAGATGTTACAGGCTAAACCTAAACGACCAACAATTTGAAACTAAACCTAAATCTGAACCTAAAACCAAACAGCTAATAATTTGAACCAAAACAATTTCGACTATAGTTTACACCCTAAGCACAGGTAAATCTTGGCCTCGAAATTTCAAAAGATCACGTTTAACATGCCAAGAGACGGGCCTGCACGGATGTTAACTCTCTTTGTGCAAGCTAAAAACACAAAGTAGGTGACATACAGACAAGTAACTCACGTATAAATTCTGTAAACAGTTAAGAAAATAAATATGAAATTGGGTAACATATCAAATACTGAAAATAGACTATAGGTTGAACGAACATCTTAAATGAGCATATTTAACAATTATATTATGCATGTACGCGTGATATCCATTGACTATTTGTTATACCACAATCATAATGGTCATTTAATTATCGCAATAAAGTTCTCCAAATAACATTTTCTTAAATAGACAAGATATTTTATAATTTATATATTTTAAATTTATTTAAAAAAAAATTAATCTCAAGGTAAGAGATAATTATATAGTTTATTTATTTTTGAACAATTAACATTATTTAATTATTTATTTAAAAAAATTGAACTTACTAAAACAAAATAAATAACTTGTATAAAAATTATTAAAAACAAAATATAATAATTTTATAATTATTAATTAATAGTTTAAGGGTTGTTTGTTCCCTCGTTAATAGTTTCAATTAGAGACAACCTCAGAATTATTAAGAGGTGAATTTTGTTTGACAAAAAAAAAATTTGTCTCTTAATCTAAAATCATATGAATGATTTTGCATCATGTATTTTCTTTAACAATTCAGCGCCCTAACTTCATTGTAAACAATTACAAAACAATTATATTTTATTTTGCACTATATAATGAGAGTCTCTTAATCATTCTGACCACTTAATCATTTTGCACCAAAACATTCAATAACTACCAAACAGACCCTTAGTTTATATATTCTATAAAAATATGTTAAAGATTTATTGAAATAAAATAATAAAGACTTTTGGAATTAATTGAGATGTATGTGGGGTGTGTAAAATTTGAATTATCTGAAATTCGAATCTAAACCCGAACCGAAATAAGATATTTATGTAAAATTCGAATGCCCCGAAATCTGAATATCCGAAAACAGCTTTTGGGGAAACTTTGGGTTCGGGTTGGGTTTGATTTTTGGCCACCTGATCCGTCCGAAAACCAAAATATATATACATATATATATTTTAAATACTATATATAAATATACTTATTTATCTAATTATCTTTTGAAAATTCTAAAAAATTTAGTCGGTCTTTTTTTTCCCCTAATTTTCAAGCATGCTATCGATTTATGAATCCTCTAAATCTATTGATACATACATATTTTGCATTATAGATAAACCCGAACCCAAGCGACATCAACCCAAAACCCGACCAATCCAAAACCCGAAGCAATCCGAAATCCAAAATCTAAAAATTGGGGATTGATTTCCAGATCTGAAATCTGATCGGGTTTTTGATTTTCCCACCCGAACCCGTCGCCCCGCCCGATACACACACCTAGATGTGCGTAAGTCGATCGAACACCATTGTTAAACAAGGAAAGCATGTCTTTTTTTTTTTCCGCATCATTAACTTCACTAAGTTAAGAACTTTATAGAACTCTAGAATGAAGTGACTTACAGTAACCTTATTTTTACGGATCTCATGTACTTTTTCACCATTCATTTTTATCATATCTTATTAAATCAATTGAAAAATAATAATAAAATAACATTTCTCACGAAAAATTAAAGACAAAAAAACCAAATTTTCTGTATAAAAACTTAAAAATATATCTGATTTATAACAACATTCCACAATAATATTGACTTGTAAAAAACCAAAATCAAATTACATGGATAAATCAGAGCATCTCCAACATATTCTCCAAATTGTAAAATCAAAAGTTTATGCATTTTGGAGATTACGATATGAATCATAATATTAAAATATTTATTATATTTCATATAATATTATCTATATCTCCTATACGTTTAATTTCAACGATTTTCATTGGTTGAAGAAAAAAAAAAACAATTTCTCTTTCATAAGTAATCATTTTTTGAGATTTTTCCAAATTTGGAGAATTTCATTCCTTCTCTCACACTTTCTCCATTTTGGAGATGGTTTTAAGAGCATCTTCAATATATTCTTTAAAATAGAGAAAACCAAGTTTTTATTCTCTATTTTGCTCTAACAATTTCTCTATATTTCTCTAAAATAGAAAATTTTGAAGTTTACAGAGTTCTTTTCAACTTGATAAATAGAACAAGAAATTATTTTTTTTTTTTTTATTAACCTGAATATTCAACCCGCTATGCGAGCCGACTAATCTTAGGGCGACTACCTGCTTTGCAGATAGCTCGGAGTCACTGCATTTGAACCTCCGTGGCCACAAGGGGGTTTTTATTCCTCCTTGGATTTGAACCTGAGACCTCCAGGTAGTTTTGACTTTAGAGCCAAGCTCAAACCAATCAGGTACCACCCTTGTGGTTATAATATTTTTTTATTCATTCTCATTAATGAGGTTGAATTATTATTTATTTTATATAATTTAAAAAAAAAAATATATTGAGATGATAAATTTATAGAGTATTTTAATAATGTAATTATTTTAAAATATTTAAAATAGAAAATCTGTTTGGGTTAAATATAAATCTGTTTAGACATTTTAAGTTTCAGTTCTCTGATTTAAAGAAAAAGTGAACTACATTTTTCGTTCTTGTGCTTTGTGAAAGATTGTGATTTTCGTCGCTTTTGAAATTTAGTTTTCGTTCTTGTGGTTTGTAATTTACTGTTGTCTTTGTCCCCGTGGTTTTTAATTTATTGTAGTATTCGTCCCCACGACTAAGAGGCCGTTTACCAAAAAACTTACCGGTAAGCGTTTATCGGTAAAATTCAACATTATCATTTACTTACCGAGTAAGATTTTATTCACGAAAAACACATCGTATGCAACAATTTATCCCGGTAAGCGCTAACCATGATAAGAGTCATCGCCCTCACTTACCGGGTAAGACTCTCGATTCTTGCCTTCGTTCTTACCGGGTAAGATTCTTAGTCCTTGCCATATTCATCCAGTTAAGTAATGTGACTTGGTAAGCGCTTACCCGGGTAAACGACACCTAAATCTATTAAAATTCTTCATTTAATTTAAGGGTAATTTAGTCTTTTTGATTTTTTTTTTTGGTTTTACATACGCTTGTTTGGTAACTTATTCATATTAATAAAATTGCATACATCTTTTTGTTGAGAATAGTCTAAAAACAGTTAATGGTTTGGTACAATAAAAAATATAATCCCTTGATCTTTAATGAAAAATAAATTAAAAAGACTAAAATACCCCTAAGTCAATGAAGAAATTTTACCATATTTAGTCGTAGAGACAAAAACAATAATAAATTACAAACCATAGGGACGAAATCGTAATTTCAAAACCACAAAGACAAAAATTCTCAAACCATTGGAACAAAAATCATTGTTCATTTAAATAAATTATAGAAAGATCTCTTGAAGATGCTGATTCTACTGAAAAAAATCTTTAAATATCCTGAGGGATTGTTTGTTTACCTCTTAATAGTTTCATTAAGGAGTAGATTCTGAATCATTAAGAGGTGAATTTTGTTTAGCAAAAAAAAATCTGTCTCTTAATAGTTTTAAAATCCTCTGAATAATTTTGTATCGTGAGCTTCCCTAACCATTTAGTGCCCTAATTTTATTATAAATAATTATATTTTATTTTGCTATATAATAAGAGTCTCTTAATCATTTTACACTATATCATGACAACCTCATAATTATTTTGTATCAAACCATTCAACAATCGTCAAACAATACCTCAATTTTAAACATTCTATTGAAAATTTGAAACCAATTGGAGTGGTTTATTTGGTCCGTTCAAAATTTTGAAACCAATTGACGGGACTTAAATAAGTTTCAAATGTCTAAGCCAAATAAACCACTTCGGTTTGGACCGTACCGTCCACCACCCCTACTTGAAAGTTGAAACGACCCCCATTCCACCTCAGTTTCCGATGACGCACATGGCTTCCCTGACCCTCTCTACTAGATCTAACGGTAATCAAACAACACAACTCACTCTCTAGTCTCTAACTCTATCCGCAAGTATTCGAGATTGAAAAGTTTAAACCTAAATCTTCAATCCATTTGATCTCAAAATCGGAGCTAATGGTGGAGGTATGCTCATCAATCCATTTGATTTCAAGCTTTCATTTCATTACAATGTTCTGTTCTCGATTTGATTGTGGTTGATTTGATTCAGGAAGTACAGAAAGCAGCGGAAGTGCCAAAATCGGCTGCCGATGATAAGAAGCAGGAATCAGAGGAGTCGTCTCTACCTCCTCCGATTGTTTTGAGAGTGTTCATGCATTGTGAAGGCTGTGCTAGCAAACTCCGGCGATGTCTCAAAGGATTTGATGGTTTGTGATTTGTGTTTCATTTTGATTTATCTGTTTGTTGTTTCAATTGAAGGATTGGATTAATGTTTTTTTTTTTGGAAAATAATGTGTGATTCGATTAGGAGTTGATGATGTTAAGACGGATTGCAAGACGCATACGGTTGTAGTGAAGGGAGAGAAAGCAGATCCGTTGAAGGTTCTAGAAAGGATCCAGAAGAAGAGCCATCGCCAGGTCGAGCTTCTCTCTCCGGTACCAAAATCACCGGCGGAGCAGTCGGAAAAAAAGGAAGAGAAAGAGGCTTCCAAGCCTGAAGAGAAGAAAGAGGAGGTTGATTAATTAATTCCTACTAGAATTTGTGCTGAAAATCTCAATGTGGATCAAATCCAGTTCATCTAATTAGGGTTTATGATGTTGAAATTACAGGCTCCTCCACAGGTGATTACAGTGGTTTTGAAGGTCCATATGCATTGTGAAGCTTGTGCTCAAGGAATCAGAAAACGCATTCTGAAGATGAATGGTAATTTCTTCTCCAAATTTTCAAGAAATTAAGAATTAATAATAACGAAATTGATGACTTACTCTAGGAACTTTAAATATTTTAGGAATGCCTGAATATATTATTTTTATGATTATTTATGATGAATAATATGGTAAAATATTTCAAATAAATTTGTGACAAATATTCATTATGAATAAGTGCATTTTTGATGGAAGGTACTTAAGCAAAAAGTGTAGCATCTTATAAGAATTACTATTAGAAAGAGTTTTTAAAAGAATCTCACACCATTTGGGTTTTTTTAAAAGAAAACCTGGTTCTTACCTCGAATTCGCCGGAGACATTTGTTAGTTTTATATCCTATATAATCATTAATAGAGTAAATTATGGATTTGGTTTATGTGGTTTTGCGGTTTTTACTGAAAGGTCTCTGAACTTCATTTATTACAGATTAGAACTCGTCGTATATTGTTTTGTAATGAATTGGTCCTTCTTTCTAACGGCCATCCAGTTCCTCCATTAACTTTGAGCGCACTTTCGTCCTTTTCCATTTTTCTGTCTTTACTCAAGGGACCAATTTCATAAAACTCACATAAAATAGGGCGACCAAATCCATAATTAAGTCTAAAATTTTAAAAATATTTTTTATATTTTGAATTTATTAAATTAATTAATTATAAAATTTTAATATATATTAGTTATTATATTTTAAGTTTAATATATTTTATTTCCAAATAATATATATTATGTACATCTATGTGTGCATGCGCGCGCGCACACACACACACACGCACACACATATATAGTGAGGTTCAAAAAAAAGTGATATCTGTCAATCATTAGATTAATTGATTCAACATATATGATTAAATGAACTTTTACAATAATATTTTTTAAATTAAAAAACATCTGTCCCACCCATTTTGTATTCGAAAAAAAGACAAAATATAAACAAAAATCGAGCGAAAAAATTACATAAAAAACACAATCATATTTCTCACTAATTTGACAACCATATTGATATATTTTTTTCATTTGCTTTTTTTCGTGGTTTTATGATTTTTTGTGTATTATGTGTTGTGTGAGAGAGAGGGAGAGAGAGAGTTGAGTTTAGAGGAAATTGCTAAATAAATGAAAACCGGAAAATGATAAAATAAAAGCCGGATGAAAAAGTAAATTAGTAGTAATTTATTTCGCTTGATTTTTGTTTATATTTCGTTTTTTTAAATAAAAAAAAAGGGTTATGAGATTTTTTTTAATTTAAAAAAATATTGTTATAAATGTTTACTTAATTACACCCGTTGAATCAAATTATCTAATGATCGATGAGAATGGTTACTATATATGTGTGTGTAAACGTGATGCATATTATTTTGAAAAAATATATTATATATTAAAATAAACTAAAAGTATAATAATTAATATATATTAAAATATAATAATTAATTAATTCAATAAACTCAAAGAATAAAAATTAATATTTTTATTTTTTTAGACTTAATTACAGATTTGGTCCCTGTAGTTTGTGTGGACTTTACGAAATTATTCCCTCTAGTAAAGACAAAAAAAAGGATGAAAATGTCCTCAAAGTTAACGGAGGAACTGGATGGTTGTTAGAGGGAGGGACCAATTGTTACAAAACCACATACGACGAGTTCTAATCTGTAATAAATAAAGTTCATTGACCATTTTCGTAAAAACCACCAAACCACAGGAACTAAATCCATAATTACTCTTATTAATAGGTATATATATATATATATATATATATATATAACTTATATTATACGCACAAAATAGATTCTTATAAGCTACTATTATCGAGTTTTATATATGTTCTTAATTTGATAAATTGAAATAATATCACAATAATAAATATAAAAAATTGGTTCTTACTTCGCATCCTTTATTGGAGATGTTATAATACTTTGAAAAAGATGTTTTATGGGTTACTAACATATTCAAAGTTGTTGATTCTGCCCCTGTTTGACATATGATGCAAATCTTTACATTTATAGTTTGGATTAATCAGATTTCAAATCATTGGATTTGATTTGGGTTAAAGAACAACCATCATTATTGAAAAGAAAAGCAAAAAAGAAAAAAGTGTCATGTATGATTGCCATCTTTATTAAACATCTGGACAAAATGTTTTCCCTTTTGGAGAATGGGGCATCATCCTTCCACAAAATAACTGCTTTCATCGTAAATGGAACATGGGTTCTTTACACTGCTGCTATTGTTTAAGTTGCTGTTTATCTAAATGCTCACCTGATAAGTGCTTACTTATAAGAGTTAACATTATAATTTATTTTGATGAGTAAGGTTTTAGTATATCAAAGCGTATACTAACGCTTACCTCGTAAGTGCTTAATGGCAGCCTAACTGGACTTAGGGGCCGTTTACTAACGCTTACCTGGTAAGTGCTTACCGAGTAATTTTCTTTATCTGATAAACATGGCAAGCGTAAAAAAAATTACCCGGTAAGAGCAATGATAAAGATGGAGAATCTTACTCGGTAAGTGAGGGTATCAACTCTTACACGGGTAAGTGCTTACCATATAAATTGTTGCATACGCTACCATTTTAATATATTACAATCTTACAACTGCAACCCTCCACCACCCAGCCATTTCAATTATCGTGTCACTATTGTCGACGTCACGGCTACCATCCCACCCTCCTCTCAAACAAAGATTGAAGATTCAAATTCTGTTGAGAGATTATGGGTTCCAGTTCCATCTAATTCCATTCTACGAACCAAACGTTTTCTGTTTTTTCTTTTTTGCCATCTTATAAATGAATAAACAATATGACAGGTGTGGAAAGTGCAGAAGCAGATCTGAAGCAGTCAGAAGTGACGGTGAAAGGCACATTTGAGCCACCGCAGCTGGCGGAGTACGTCAACAAGAAAATGGGCAAACAAGCAATGATTGTGAAGCAAGAGCCAGAGCCTAAGAAACCAGAAGCCAACAACAAGGGTAAAGATGGAAAAGTCGAAAAAAACGAAGGTGGTGCCGATGAGAAAAAAGCAACAGGTGAAGGAGCGGCCAAACCGGCGGAGGCGGCCGGTGGCGCAGATGACAAGAAAGTGGTGGAGCTGAGGAAGAATGAATTCAATTTTTACCAAAGTAACCTTCCGAGATACGCCGTGGAGTCGGCTTATGGTTATCCGGCGGCTCCACAAATATTCAGCGATGAGAATCCCAATGCCTGTTTTGTTATGTGAATTTGGAATTTATGGTTTAATTTAATTTGATGCTACAATATCCTATTTTTGTTGCTACAAACACTCTAATAATATAATTAATTATTTAACCAGTTGTCGCATAGTGATTGAGATCCAGGGGATATGATGAAATATTTTATCTGTTCATTGTTTGATTATAACTGTATATAACAATTGTGATCATTAAATTTATCAATGCTTTATCAGTACTGATTTTCCGTAATCCTAATTTGCTAGGAATAATTAAAACTTAACTTGCGGGTAGTGACGGGGTATCCCGACCTTTGGTCCTATAATTTTTAAACACGAATGAATTGTTTAAAAAAAAAATCGTTTAGCTTATCAAATACATGAAATTGCATGTTAAAAAAACGTAAATTTTTGTTGACTCTTTTAATTTACCACTCAATCTAGAAAACTGTATAACTCGTTCTGATAGATCGGCCCATAACCGATCCCCTAAAGAAAGGTTGCTTGTTCGCTTTCATGATAAACCGATTAGAATGTACCAAAACAAGTATAATATCGTGACTTGTGAACATTTAAATAAAATCTGAACAAGTTTTAACTCGTTTTCTTTTTATATAATTTTCTTCAGTTTACACATTTGATCTATTAAGGGTACACAATAACCCAAATCGACTAACTTTAAATGAATCATAACTGTCAACTTTAAATAAAATAAACCGGGCTAATGAAATCGACTGATGATAACAAATTCAACCTACAATGATTAGAAATCCATAACAGGAAAACTTTTTCATACAGTTTTTTTCGTGTCACTTTAGAGCCAATTTACTGACCCAAAAACTGTAACTGAACCTCTTTTAACAAAAATCGTTCCCAAAATAATATAGCTTTAACCACAGTTGTGTGTTGTCTCTGTCTGATTGGTTTGAGTTAAGTGTCAAAGGTCACATGATGAAGGTTCAAATGCGATGACTTTAGACTACCTACAAAATAGATAATTGGTTCGTATAGCATATTGGATATCTAGGTTAATGAAAAAAATTCATAGCTTTTTAGAACTTTTTTAAGTCTCATCCTGTTTAATTTATTTCATTTATATTATTATTTATAAAAAGTAATATACTAGAATTATTTAACCATACATTTATTTATGTTGACAAAAATATTATTACTTTAGTCATAAATTTATTTTATAATAGGCATTTATTTTGATCTATTTGAATACATTAAGGGATTGTTTATTTATTTTTTAATAGTTTTATTAAGAGGTGGATCTTGTTTGGTAAAAAAAGTCTTGTTTTTTAATGGTTCTAAAACCCTTTGAATGATTTTGTATCTTGGACCTCCCTTAACTATTCAGCGTCCTAATTACATTCTGAACAATTACCAAACAACTATATTTCATTTCGTATTATATCATAAGAGTCTCTTAATCATTCTGACCACTTAATCATTCTACATTAAACCATTCATCAACTGTCAAATAGTTCTTAATGCATATATATTATCAATAAAAATAAAAATAAATTTAATTAAACATTTATTTTAATTTACCAATTTTTGTATTTTTTTTTCTTTATTTACAATGTTTAAATGATAAAAATATTAAAATTAAAAGTACAATTCCATAATTGAAATTAGTGATGTAATAATACAATAATTTTGAAAGTACAATGTTATGATAAGAAATGACATGTCAACACTATTGTACATATGGACAGCCCATATGGACGATGAGGTGACAAAGAAACCTGATATAATTGGTAAATTTAATTTAAAAGGTTACCCACTGCTATAACGAGTAAATTTTTAAAAGTACGATGCCTTAATAAAAAATATTTTAAAAGTATATTTTTGTAATAAGAAAAACTGAAAATACAATACTATAATATATATATATATATATATATATATATATTTGTAAAAGTAGGTTACTATTTCATATATTGTCCCTTAAATAAAACAAGAAACAATGTTTACATATCAATTTAGTTTTTATAATTTAATGCAAGAACAACACAAAAATTGGATACATTTTAATTTATAAAAATAGAGTTTTATTTTACATTTTCTCAAATTTATATTAAAATCTTATAGAGAGAGATGAGAAAGTTTAGTTGAAAACCACATTTCCATTGTGAACTGGTAAATCACTGTGAGCATATCACGTGTTCAGTGGCGGATTCAGAAACTTTTATAGTTAGGGGCATATTTAGGAGTGTAGAAAAAAAAATTCAAAACCAAATAATTCATCTGGATAAAAACGGTTTTGGGTTTTCCTTTTCAGCTTAAATGGTTCAGTTAACCGAATAAAGATAACTTATGCAGGTCGCTTTTAAGTTGATTTTTTTACCAATTCATCGAGATGTATAAATTTTATATTTTATATATTTCGAAGGAAAATATCAATGTGTGTTACAAATGGACCAATTAACAATCAGGATATCAAGTGGGGGCCCTTACCTTGTTTTTGTTGGGCGCCCAAAAGAAAATTTTGCTAAACAAAATTTTTTATAGCCTTTTTTATATATATAAAAATGGTGGGTTTGTTGGGGGTCTAAGACCTCTACCACCATGCACTGGATCCGCCAGTGCACGTGTCCATATTCATCATGAATAATGAGTGTGAATTTTTTACAACGGTCATGATAAATGTCTCTGACATATGGCACGCTATCGGTGGTTCCCCAATTTGCAATAAAATGTGGTACATGTCTTATGTATATCACTAAAGAGTCAAAATCCAATTCGTACACGAAAAGTAGCTCGCAGTTATTAGAAAAAGATCTTACTTATATCATTGATGTCGATATTTCGTATAAGACAAGTTAGAGCTAATGATTCTAAATTGACCTGAAATTGACTATATGATTTTACGGTTAACTAATTAAAAAAGGGAGAAATATGGCATGCAGGGGCGGATATAGCATAGAAATGGTGGGGGGATGGGCCGCCATTAAAAAAATAATTCTTAATTACTTAGGTTAGAAACAAATTTTTCTTTAACTTTCTACCGCCCCCAGTAATTTTCGGCCTGTGCCCCCACCAACCAAAAAAATACATTGAAATCAACCAAAAAGTATCTAAAAATCAACAAAAAAAAACAACAGAAAAAGTCATTTGAAATCGACAAAAAAACTTAAAAATATTTCGAAGTCAACCAAAAAACTTTTAAAAATCCTTTGAAATAATGAGACTAGGCTAAGAAAACACCGACAACTTTGCGGGTCTTTAATCTACCTTAAAGGTGCCCCCACTAAGCAAAAATTCTGGATCCGCCACTGATGGCATGGAGCCTTTTCTTGGGAGTCAGATTTTATGATGTTGAATTTCAAAACCTTTAAAATAATGTTCGAAAGAGGATTGCCCTCATGCGTTAATTTCAGATGATAAAAGGGTGAAACGAATTTAATCAAAAACACCCAACTCATAATTGGTGAATTTGTAGGTTCAGTTCCTACTGGATGCACGTCAATGGGACCCTCCAAGCGCCGTGCTGCTGGGCGAAGCAGTAGAATGTAAACAACATGTTCAAATTCGAATCTTGTGGTAGACAGACTTGAATCCTCCACTAGCCTCAACCATTGAATCAACTCTCGTCTTCTCCCATTGGTTCCTAGGAGGTAGATTCTGCTAACTTCAATCGTTGAGCTCCTTCCGATTCTAATTAAGAATCGACATACGATGAACTAATCGTATTTTAATAACATGATTTGGATACATTTGATGATTTGAACAGATCTAACATGTTCTAGATGTGTAACGTAACAAACTAATTATTTATTTATAATTGAGAATAACATAAACGATGAATGTCCCTGACACATGGCATGTGATGGTGGTTCCCCTTGAAATGTGGGTATTACCGAATTTGCCCCTACATGTATATAAATGCTAAAATATGTGTAAAATACATATATACATAAGAGACTTGGGATCACATGAGACCAGCCTGTTTTCGTGATACTACTTTTTTACACTTGAAACTTCACAGCAAAACGCTGTGAAGGTAACCTTCACAGTGTTTTTATTGTGAAGATTCGGTTTTTTCTTTACTTTCATAGCGTTTTGTTGTGAAGTTTCAAGTGTAAAAAATTGGTCTCACGAAAAACAAGTTGGTCTCACGTGATCGCAACCCTACATAGAAATATAACCAAATATCAATTATAAGGCTTAGCGTCGAATTTGGTAAATGATCTCATAAAATTAGACTCTCGATGTCGAACAACCCATGTGCATCACTGAAGTATACAATACGTCCACGACAAACAGAGTAATCACTGAAAAAGATCTTACTTACATTATTGATATCGACCTTTTGTATAAGACAAGTTAGAACTAATGATTCTAATTAATATTATCGTCACTAGTTAAAACGACCTAAATATGGCATGAAGCCTTTTCTTCGGAGTTAAGATTTTACGATGTTAAATTTCGAACCCTTTGAAATGATTTTGAATAAGGACGAAAATAATGCCCTCGGTTGTATAGATCAAATGGCAAAAGAGCGAAGCGAATTACTCAAATATATAACAGATTCAAATTCGAATCCTGCAAGAGACGGGTGTGAACACCTTCGCCAGCCTCAACCGTTGAGTCAACTCTGAGATGTTTCATCACATGTGGTTCCTAGGAAGAGGGTCCCGCTAGCTTCAACCGTTGAACATCTTTTAATTCTAATTAAGAATCGATACAAGATGAATTAATCTCATTTATACTGGAGACACACAAGGCTCGAGTGTGACTTGTCTTCGGTGCAATCATGAAAAACGATCATTCGTTTAGCTGATCCAAGATGAGGGCCCGATATAGACATGACGGGTTAAATTAACATCAACAAGAGGTACTTTATATTTAAATGAAAACACGCAACACAATATAAAAGTCAATAATTTGGACGATGTCTTTTTATTGATTTCACGACCTAATTAATATTCAACCATAAAACTATCATAAATTGACCTTTAGATATAAACTGTTAGAACCAATCCAACGAAGTATAGAATTACCCTTCCAAACTAGAAATAAAACAATAACAATCAAAAATTAACCAAGAAATTTAGTAAAAATCTAACCTTTACGATGATATCTATATGCAAAGATCGTGAGATAGAGGTCTACCACAGCAATGTCCTAAGACGAAATTTCGCCCCCAATCGTGCGTTGGTAAACGGACATCGTCTTGAGGATACAACTATCTAACCGGATTGATGCACGTCAATCTGATTCCATCGAATCGATAATACGTTCCATGAAGCAACGATATAGAGAGAAAAAATATTGAGAGAGCGTTATGTTCTGTGTGTATACCGGAAAGACGAACAGCCCCAAAAAAAAAAAATATATATATATATATATATATATATATATATATATATATGAACCGCAAAAATGCAGTTACCGACGGGTCTTGGACCGGGCAAAACCGTAGTCGGATCATAAGATCCCAAGGCCCATCTTTTGACCATTAATATTGGGTAATGTTACACCAAAGCCCAATGTCAATCCTTCGTTTGGGCCTCTCTCTAACTTGCTAATTCAAGTGTGTAAGGCCATATAAACACATGAAAATTTCCTTCTTTTTCCTATGTGGGACAAGTGTGGACTAATATCCAGCATAAACTAACACAACCGACGCTATTGATATTGGCTACCGCCATTGTACTCCCCGACCAATCAACTGGCCCCACCTCTATAACGTCGTCCTCTTCCCACGTACGACGGTCCCCCCCACCAATCAACCATCTTGCATCATTCCGTTTCCTATGACGTTGTTGGCAACGACCCCCTTCCCTGTGACGTTTTTTGCAAGGCACCCTTCCGATTGGACCAAACCCTAAACCTTTTGATAATTAATTTTTTTTAAAAATATATTTAACTGTGAAAAATACATTTTAGGGTTTGTGCATCAAATATTTTTTGACATCAATTATGATAAGATTGATATAAGAAGTATCAGTTCCAAGTTCGAAGTACCAATTGTACAAATAATAATCCATTTTGTTACATGATTTCTTTTCCATACAGATAAATATAGGATCTACAGGCAATTACTTAAAAGTATATTTTGTGCTACAACCCTTCCTATCTAATAGAAAAGGATCCCATGATCTTGGACGGATCTGACCTGGGATCTCAAACCCCATTTATTTCTAAAAAAAAATAATTAATCAAACTCAATAATTTCTAAAATTTTGGTTATGTTTTACCATTTTGCACTTATTTTAAAAAAATTAAAGTAAATATATAATGTTGATTATATATATCATCACACTAGGGTAGACGTTTTTAGGGGTTCTTAGAAACACGATAAACCCGATTAACCCGTCCAACCTAGCATAAAAGAATTCAGCATTAAATCACAAGGGTGGTATCTGATTGGTTTGAGCTTTGGCTCTAGAGGTCAAAAGTGTCTGAAGGTCCTAGTTTTAAATCTAAGGAGGAACAAAAATCTTCTTGTGACCACGGAGGTTCAAATGCGGTGACTTCGGACTATCCACAAAGCAAGTGGTCTCTTTGGGATTAGTCGGCTTGCATTGCGGGTTGGATATCCATGTTAATAAAAAAAGAATCTAACCTGAAGGAATCTGATTTCTAATCGAGTTGTAAAATATTTAAAAGGTATAAGTTGGAATTGTGTTATGGCTATTTGAATGCGACCCAACTCAATGAAACTGATATCGTTCTATTTATTTGATTTAATATGATTTTTAAGTCTTGTTAATATGCATATTAGACAATTAGTCAATTACACCATTATGTACCCTATTCATATACATATACTTTCAGTGTCTTTTTCATCTCTATACAACTATTTTTTATATATGTTTAGTAAATGTGAACACACACACACACATATATATATATACACATATATATATATATATACACACACATATATACATATATATATATATATGTGTGTGTGTGTGCAAACTAAGAATAGTAATTGAACGTGATATACTTAATATTTAAGAAATATGGATAAGATGTATCAATTATCAAATAATTGATGATGAAAAAAGAATTATGAGTAGAGAAAACTACATATTCAAAGTTTTGAAAATATTTTGATGTACTAAAATATTAACCCGACCAACCTGTACAGGTTGGGTTGGGTTGGGTTGAGATTTTTCAAAACGCAAATATTGGGTTAGGGTTGAGATTTTTCAAAGGATGAACATTGACTGAGTTGTTAAAATGCTTTTAACCAAATCAAACCAACCCATAAGCACCCCTAAACGTATTAAACCCCAAGCGGGGTTTCGTACACATGCTCAACTTATTTTCATAAACATATAGTTTTGGGTTTTAAAGGTGCACCTGTTAAATTTTGATCTGTGCTCCAGAATGTTAGAAAAATCAAGGAACATCAACAAAAAACTAAAAACTCTCTCAAACTCAATCAAAAAACTGAAAAAAGTCTATCAAAATAAACCGAAAAACTACCTTAAAATCAATAAAAAAAACTAAAAAATCCATCAAAACGATGAATTCAGCTAAAAATTAAACGAGTGACTTTTTGAACCTTTAATTCACCTTAATAGTACACCATCTCGACAAAAAACCAAAATCCTGGACCGGTCACACTTATTATTTACAACAAAACAGGGTAATATGATATATCAATACGATAAACTGGTTAAATATAATATACAATAAAAAATAATTATAAATTCATTATATTTTAGCAAAATGTTTAATAATCGTCAACCCTTGGGGGGAGTTTGGTTCGTAGAATGGAATTCGATGGAATTAGAATTCATCAAATGAATTTGACTTTGATGAAATTTGACCATGCCTTGTGATTGCGTTTGGTTGTATGGAATTGGAATGAAATTTTTAACAGATTGGAATTTTTTTTGTTTGGTTCACGAAATTCAACTTTGGAATCGGAATTAAATATCAACAAATGACCTTTTATGATTTTTGAATAACGGAATTGGACTAGTGATATCCATAGCTAGTTATCTTGAATCGATTCCTTGATTACATATGTTGTCTATCGATTTCGTATAGATGGAGAAATTAAGAGAGAGAGAGAGAGAGAGCGAGAGCGCGCACGTACCAGATGGAGATCAAACCAGAGATCAATTAGATGAGATGGTAGACGCAACATTGAATGAATTTGGATTATGGAAGGAATTTGTTGGAAGGAATTGAAATATGAGGTATTGCCGTGGAATGTAAAATACGTGAGTGAAGAAATTTATTGGAATTGAAAGGATTACATCAAATTTATTTCATGAATCAAAAATTGTATTTGGAATTTGGTCAAAGGATTTGGTCATTCCAATTCCTTTCAATTCCATGAACCAAAGAGCCTCTTAATGAGTCCATATAGACCCTTAATGAGTCCATATAGAATCCGCTCCTAAGAACCACATGTGAATAGACATTTTAGAGCTAACTCCGCCGTTGAGTCCATATAATTGTGCGGTAATGGAATTAGGGTGCTCACTAGTTAAGGGGATGCATGATACAAAATTCTTTATAAGATTTTAGAACCATTAAGACACATATAGATTCAACTCTTAATTATTGAGTACCGACTCTTAGTGGTATTCGGATTTAAACAAACAAGCACAAAGCATTGATGGTCTCCTATCATCTTTATACCACATTTCTGGCATGGGCGATGATCGCTACGTATTTTGCTCGTCGATCACAATCAATACATGTCTAGCTTGAAAAATCCTCTCACATCTCATATATAATAGACGAAGGATCGGATGCACATATTCAGTTTTTCGGTCGAATTCCAAGAAGCTACGATTTGCCGCCGGTTAACTGGTAGAGGTGAATAGTGATGGATCTGCTTCACAAATTGTTAAACATTTTGTTTTCTATTGTATCAATCATCTTATTCATGCTCGTGTTGCCGATACTTTTGCTGTTCCGCCTCTGGAGGTTTTGCGTCAGATCTGTTTTCCGAGAAAAACTCGCCGGAAAAGTAGTGCTTATCACCGGAGCTTCTTCTGGTATCGGTGAGGTAATGTAAACTTACAATTCTTCGTTATAGTTATATTTGTGATTGTAGGAATTTAACGATAGGTTAAATTTGACGTGGTACTATTGAAGCATTTGGCGTACGAGTACGCGAAACATGGAGCGAGTCTAGTGTTGATTGCGAGAAGAGAGGAGCTGCTTGCGACGGTTGCAAGGAAAGCGATGGAGTTGGGATCGCCGGACGCCGTGGTGATTAAGGCGGATGTTTCGAAGCTTCTGGATTGCAAGAGATTTGTTGATGAAGCGATTAAACATTTCGGTAAAGGTGAGTTTCGCATTTCCTATTTTACATTTCTGTTGTGGTCATCGTTGGCATAAAGTGGTTATGGAACCTTAAAGCATCTCCTATTCAAGACTTTCTACTTGAAAAGTGTGGGTTTCTAGAAGAATCATTAGGCATGAGAATGGGCCATCACTCGTCAGGGAACCGATCTACCAGTTCTGATCGGGACCGGGATTTTCCGCTAAATCAGGGACGGACACAGGGACGAGGATCTTCATTTGTCTCAAACCAGGGGTCGGGACGGAGACGGATGTTGCACCTCGTATCTGTTATATATATTAATTAATAAATATTATATATATATATATATATATCTATACTATATTATAAAACATTTGACAAAAACTCTTAAAAACTATCTTTTATGCATGAATTACTGTTTATTGATACATATTACTTAAAATTTAATATTACAAGTAAATTATGCATAGGTACAAATTATTAAAGTTTTATGTTTGAATTAGTGTCACTAACTGTAGATAAACATAATCAAATAGAGGATAAACATTTCATTTTAAATATAAAAAATATAAAATATAATTATGATAATCATTGAGTTCCAATAAAATACTTAATTATTATCTTTATATAAATTACTTTGTTATTAGACTTAAATTAAATTATAATTAGAAAAATTAATTAAAGAAGTTACAAAAAAAAAAAACTATTAAATGGTTAATTTGATACTAATATCGATTTTTTTTTTTTCAAATTTTTATGTCATCTTCAAATCTATATTCATTCAAAAATAAAAACATTATCGTTTTCTCAAGACCATACAAAATTGTATTATATCGATAGAGACAAATAATAAAAACTAAACACTAAAATGGAGATCTATCCCGTTGTATTGTGCGAATACCCTTCTAGTTATTATTAATTCAACTAAATCGGTAATTCATAATTTCTTATTTCTTAACTATGTTTACAATCTAAATTTTTTTTTTTATGTTAATACGTAATATTTTGGAGATCAAGTCAAAATACAATTACTCGATGTATTTTGGATACCACTCGATATGTTTAGCAGTTTAGGCACATGTGACGTTAGGTTTTTTTTTGGATTAAATTCAATTTCTTTTGCTTTTAGGTTATTAATTATTATATGATATTGTGATGGTATAACCCCTAATTCTAGTTTTTTTTTTTTTGTGCTAAATAGCCAATTTGACCCTCCCTCTTCATTTTATGGCGATCATTTCAACTTATAGACAGAAATAGTCGTGGTTTCAAGTAACATTTACGTAACTTACGTAACTCATATTTTAAAATTTAATATAATATTCAGAAAAAGTAGACATTTGGCAAATTGCCTCGCGTAATGTATACGTAAACAAGCTTTGGTAAGTAAATAGCCCTCATGCAACTTGTGTAATGCCTACCTTTTCTGAATATTATATTTAAAAAAGGGGTTATGTAAGTTGCGTAAATTATATCTATAATAATCTCAGCTATTCCGGTCAATAAGTCGAAAAGGTGTTATAAAGTGAAATGTGGTGAAATTGACTATTTCTTTTTAAATATATAATATTTATATACGGCAAATGTAACAGATAAACTCACACACCCTGTTCATCTTTGGTGAGGTTTGAACCCTTGACCTCCTAAGAGGACAATGACTACGATACCGCTAGAACAAATACCCTTTGGTGAAATTGGCTGTTTTTGGACAATTTCTCTGATTCTATCGTTGATCACATGGAAAAATGCCCAAATATTCATACGATCGCGAGAACGACTTGCTACTGGACTCGATTTTGTTACGTCTTTCTCATTTTCTATGTTAAATGTTAAGATTACAAGAACTCAATTTTCAACAGTGGACTGCCTTATAAATAATGCTGGAACTGGAATAGTTGGCCTCTTCGAAGAACAAATATGCATCACCGATCATGCTTCGATCATGGTATCGATCATCTCCACCGTTCAATTTTTTCATTTCAATCCTATACGATCAAAGATAAATGATAAAAACCGAAGTTCGACTTTGCCTGTTTTGTTCTTTCTCAGGACATAAACTTCTGGGGGTCGGTTAACGCCACGCATTTTGCACTTCCATATCTGAAAAAGAGCAAAGGCAGAATAGTCGTGATCGGTTCTTGTGGCGGATGGTTCGCTACGCCAAGAGTAAGCGTATATAATGTAAGTAAAAAGACCCGAGTTTTCTAGATTTGGTTCATTTTTTGTTATATATTTGATTATTTGTTATGTTCTCAATGACGAACGGCTCCCTAGGCAAGTAAGGTAGCACAACAAAGCTTCTTCGAAACGCTACGAATCGAGCTTGGTTCAGATATCGGGATAACGATGGTCACTCTTGGGATGGTCGATACCGCATTAGCTAGTGATGACTTCTTAACTCAGGTAAATAAACGTAGGTTAGCCCAATAATCTTCAAATCAACTTTAAATCCATAACGGAAGTTATTGGTATCCCACAACTTTTAGCTTATAAGAGCTCACAAATCTAACTTTATATTTACGTGGGACTGGTTATTACAAACTCCCCTACTTAAATTCATGACGTCCTCATTAGGCCTTCCCAACATCCTCCTTGTGTATTGTCGATATGAGATTTGTCTAAGATGTTAAAAACACCTCGTCCCCCTCCTGAGCGGGGACTTATCATACTGGATGAGGTTTTGCCCCATCTTCCCGATGGTACAAAGATTGACTCTAATATCGTTTATAACATCAAATAAAACTTTCCATCATGGTTTTAAAGTTGAATAAAAAGTTATTGGGCCAATCACTTTTGGCTATTAAACGTTACACACCGAATGCATTGAATCTGTTCCAGACATTGATTGTTGATCCGGTCTGTTAGGGTGCGTCTCGTCTCCAGACACATTAAGACAAAACACGACAGGACACGACAAAACAACTGTTTAGTGTTTGATAAGATAGAAGTAGACAGGACAGAATAATTGTTCAATGTTTGGTAAAAAAAACAGAACTAGACATGACAAAACGGATAAAATGACTAATTTCCCAAAACGAGTTGTTTATACATTTTATTTATTTTCATTAATTTGTTGTAGTTAGATTATACTATAATAAGAAAACTATTACAAAATATATCATTAGAAAGTTTTCATCAAAATAATTAGAATGACACTAAAATAAAAAGTTTATGTAGTTTCCAATTTTTATTTGATATTTTTTGTATATTGTCTATTTATTATTAATATTTAATAAATTATATAAATTAATCAAAATATAGAATAAAAAGAATATTTTGAGGACAGTAAATTAAAATTTTAAAAAATATAAAATATAATAAATAAAAGTTAGAGAGGGAATAAAATGTAAAGAGAGAGAAGTATTTGATGGTTTTGAAGAGAATTAAGTTCTATTTTGATATTGTATTGGTGAAATATAAGTTTGTTTCACCTTATTCCAGGGGCGGGGGGGACTGGGGAGTGAAAAACGTTTATTTCACTTTGTTCAACTATCTTCATGTCTGTTTCACATAAAAGTCTTATCAAACATGAAATGATAATCCTTATTCTGTTCTGTCATGTCATATCTCGTGTACCAAAGGCAAACTCGGTTTTAGATTTTAAGAATCAGTCATAATCTAAACAGATTATAATCTCGACTGAGCCATTATTAAATGTTGAATATATGTTGTTAGGCAAATTTAAAGTGGCTGCCAAAGGAATCGGTAGAAGGGTGTGCCAAAGCGATTGTAAATAGCGCCATTCGTGGAGATGAATACTTGACCGAGCCCGGATGGATGCACGCGGTCTTTTTATGGGCCATCCTGTTGCCGGACCTAATGTACTTGTTGCGCCGCTTCATCGTGGTCACAAGCCCTAAGACTTCGTTACAAAAGTGGAAGTCCCAAAATACGGCTTCATTTCAACCTCTCGAAGTCAAACACGACTAAATTCACAAAGAACAAGAAAGATTTGTAGTCGTACAATTAATGTCTGTAGGAATCGAGCATTCGGCTCTTTCAGGTATTTGATCGTCAGTTGTACCGTGCAACAAGATGCGGGATGTTAAAAATATGATTAATGAACACTTTCCTTTTATACAAATGTAAGAGTGTGTTTGGTACGTTGGATATGACAAGATATAACAAAACCTTATTGTCCCATGTTTAGGGCAACAATTGGATTATGACATGACTAGGGGCAGACCTATGCATGTCTAAGTGGGCTCGTGTACACCTGTTCAATCCATTTTATCAAGTAGAGTCTTTTTAAGGTATGAAAGGTGAATCCTCGCTAAACTTTGAGGGGTGCTCTGGGATATTAGAAAATATAAAAAAACATCAACAGAAAAAAATACCTCGAATTCAACCAAAAATTTATCCCGAAATAAACAAAAAACCATGAAAAATTCCCTCAAAATCTGCCAAAAACTTAAATGTCCTTGAAATCAACCAAAAAATTAAAAAAAAATCTCTTAAAACGGTAGAATTCAGCTATAAACAAGTCGGACAACTTTGCGGTCATTTGATCCACCTTAAAGATATATTCGTTCGGCAAAAAATCCTACGTCCACCACCGGACATGACAGAATCGAGTCAGACAAAAATACCCGGGGGGGGGGGGGGGGGGGGGGGTTGTTCCACCAAATATGTGGAACATAAATAAGGAAGATGAGATAGGTAAATGATTAAAAAGTTAACACCTTTCACAATTCTTTCGTCAATTCAATATCATTAAATGTACCAAAAAACACACTCTAAATTACATCATAAAAGCATAGCGAAACCCGTAAAAATGAAAGTGACTTGGTTGGGGGAACAACGTCATGGGGGTTGTTTACTTTAAAAGGACAAAGTTGCATAAAAGTAGCCAAATATATATTTTTGCCCATAACGAAAAAAAGGTGCCCGAACTTGTTGACATACACCAGAGTCGCATTTAAGAGGTTCTATCAACAAGCCTTGAGGTCTTTGGAGATACTCTTTAGAGTTAGGCATGAGAATTGGTCGGGACCCAGTCTACCCCCCTAGTCGGGAACGGGGATAGGAATCTGTGTTTGGTAAATGATAATTTCTTTTTTAATATATTTTTTATATTACTAGATGTGGTTTTGGATATTACTCAATATGTTTTGGTATATGTGAGGTTTGAACCCTGACCTCCTATGAGGCTAAAGACTACGATACCGTTAGATTAAAAGACCTGGCTATTATCGGGTAAGTTTGACCACCAAACTTACATAATTCTACTTCATCACTTCATTTCACAAACAAAACCTACAAATACACTGAGCAACAATAAATAGATCTAGGGGTGTAATCGAGCCAAGTAATCGGTATTCCAAGCTCGGCTCAAAAAAAATAAAACCAAGGTCGAGCTCGAATTATTTTTTGAGTTACCGCGTCGAGTTTGATGCTCACTTATGGACTCGAACTTGCAATTGATTAACTCGTTTGTTGGCTAGATGTTGATAAATTTTATATTATTATCGTATTATTTATGAACATATGAACATGTCTGACTCAAAAAAACGCATGCTCGAATGGCTCGTCTCAACTCGAAAAATTCAATGGAGTTTTCAAACGAGCCGAGTCAATCAATGGTGTTATGAAACTCAAATCGTTAAGTTAAACGAGTTTTATTTTGTATCGAGACCGACTTGAACTCAACAATTATTAAGCTCGACCTCGAATTGCTCGTTAAAAGCTCGGTTCGTTTATACCCCTAGTAATTACGCATAATAAGTCCAAGAAAAAGGTTAAGTACATGAGGGCAGGCTACCGAACATTTCGTACTTAATCGTTCTTTTGATCATAATCCATGTTATTGAATCAATACAGTGTGACACATATAAAAATCTCTTTGTGGCCACGGAGGTTCAAATGCGGTGACTCCCGACTACCTGCAAAGCGGGTGGTCATCTTAGGATTAGTCGGCTCACATAACGGGTTGGATATCAGGTTAATCATAAAAAGGTCAAAAGGCAAGATAAAAACCAAAATGGCGAAAAAAACATAGCTATTAGGGGCAAAAAAATCCGCTAATCTTAAGAGCAGGGGCGTAAACTAACGAGTCAAGCTTTAAATAGCTACTTGAGCTCGAGTCGATCTTGAACATAAAATAGAACCCGTGTAATTTAACAAGACAAGCTTCATAACAATAATGTTCGACTCGGCTCGTTCGAAAACTCGATTAAGTTTTTCGAGTCAAGACATTCGAGTATACACTTTCTCAAGCCAAAAATGAGCATATGTCCATAAATCATACAATAAAATATAAAAAAATTATCAACATCGAGCCAATAAACAAGTTAATCGATCGTCAGTTATAGGCCATAAACGAGCATCGAGCTTGAGCTCGATAACTCAAAAATTACTTGAGCTCGAGCGCTGCATTGAAAAAGTTATTTAAACTTGAGTCAAGCTCGAATAAACTACTACTCGGCTCAGCTTGTTTACATCCCTACTTAAGATGACATTTTTCGAAAAAATGCAGAGTAGACTATCTTTTAGGGCTAGACTGGGCTTGGGCTTGGGCTTGGGCTTGGGCTTGGGCTTGGGTTTGATTCTGATACTCTTGTAACGATGCTTTATTTTAATGTTTTTATTATTAATACTATAAGGGTAATCAGCTATGCAGTGATATATATATATATATATATATATATATATATATATATATATATATTAATATTTTGTTTTATTTTTTTGTCTTGTTAATATAATAAGGTTTGTAGGGTTTGAGAAAGATAATGTTTTTACTTTTGAATAAAAATAAATTTGAAGATATCATAAAAATTTGAAAATATACTCGTTTTTTTGTTCAATTTTTTTAATTCAAATTTTTATTTATAATTTAATTTAGGTCTAATAGCGATGTAATTTATTTTTGGCTTAACAATATATTTTTTATAAAGATAATGATTATCTTAATTATATTTTAGATTTTTTATATTAAAAATGAGATGTTTATCCTGTATTTGATTATGTTTATCTGCAGTTAGTTATAGGAATTAAAAAATTGAGCTTTAATAAGTTGTATTTGTAGTCTTAAGTTTTAAGTAATTTATACTATATTATAAAACATTTGACAAAAACTCTTAAAAACCATTTTTTATGCGTAAAATATTGTTTATTAATGCATATTACTTAAAACTCAAGATTACAAGTAGATTGTGCGTAAGTACAACTTATTAAAGCTTAATATCTTAATTCGTGTAACTAACTGCAGATAAACATAATCAAATACAGGATAAACATCTCATTTTAAATATAAAAAATCTAAATATAATTAGGATAATCATTGAGTTCTAACAGAATACAGAATTCTTCGATCAATTCTCTTTTAAAGCACAATTCATAAGTGGACATGAGATTAAAAGTGATCAAGAGTTCAGATCTCTTCTCATGTTTTTCATCATGACTTTCCTTCTTACAAGATTTTTCGTCTTGGTTTGAGTTGGGGAACAAAACTGGAAATAAAAATGACAGAGAATGAAAATGAAAATGAAATTGAATTTTCATCTCCCAATCTAATCGGGAACGAAAATTTGGGCTTAAAACCCACTAATTTATATAAAAATAAATAATTAATTTTTATTTTTATTTTCATTAATTACTGTTTATAACAACTCTAATCAAGGACCCAATTCATTTCAAAAACTTCATTGACAATTTTTCAATTGTAAGGTTGATTAGTAATAATTATCATTTATTATTATTAACTATTGATAAATATTAGTTGTTAACGAATATTAATTATTAATTAATTCTAATTATTATTAAGTATTAGTTAATAGTAATTAATATATATATTATACATTTGACAAGAACTCTTAAAAACAATTATTGATGCATATTACTTAAAATTTAATATTACAAGTAAATTGTGTATAAGTACAACTTATTAAAGCTCGATACTTCAATTCGTCTAACTAACTGTAGATAAACATAATTAAATATTGGATAAACATCTCATTTTAAAAATAAAAAATCTAAAATATAATTAGGATAATCATTAATTTTATAAAAAAATATATTATTAAACTTCAATTAAATTTTTTTGTTACTAAACCTAAATTATCTATACTATATTATAAAGCATTTGACAAAAACTCTTAAAACGATTTTTTATGCAAGAAGTACTGTTTATTGATGCATATTAGTTAAAATTTAAGATTACAAGTAAATTGTGTATAAGTACAACTTATTAAAGCTCCATACTTGAATTCGTCTAACTAACCGCAGATAAACATAATCAAATATTGGATAAACATCTCATTTTAAATATAAAAAATCTAAAATATAATTTGGATAATCGTTGATAACTAACAGAATACTTAGTTATTATCTTTATAAAAAATTATATTATTAAACTTAAATTAAATTTCTTTGTTACTAAACCTAAATTAAACTATAATTAAGAAAATTACACCAAAACACAAGAACTTTTAAAAAGATTAATTTAATATTGATATCGATAATTACTTTTTTAAAATTTTATGATATTTTTAAATTTATATTTTATTCAAAAATAAAAACATTATCACTTTCTCAAAACCATATAAAACCAATTTTTATTTAAAATTAAATATTACAAGTAAATTATGCAAAAGTACAACTTATTAAAGCTCGATGTTTGAATTCGTATAACTAATTGCGGATAAAAATAATCAAATAGAGGATAAACATCTTATTTTAAAATATAAAAAATCTAAAATATAATTAGGATAATTATCGAGTT